GTACTTGCTATCAGGCAACCTACCAACCCCTAACGATACTACCTATATAGTTCATTCTTTTTTATCATATTGAGAAAGGCATGAGTGCCCTGAGAAATTCTTTTCTGAAGTCAAGATACTCAGAGCATCTTTTTGATCTGTCAGCTTAGAAACTTAACTTTAAGAAAAAATTTGGCATGACTTATTTTTAGTAAACCCATTTGCTTTCAGATGATCCCAGCTTCTGTTTCCATGCAATCCTGAAATGTATGAATAGTAATTTAATCCTCTGTAGATCTGTCCTGAAGTTCACCAAAATTATTTCCATTTTCTGCATATGCCCACTTTAAAATTGAGCTCATTCAAGGACACCCCATAAGAACATTGTGAAAGTTAAAAGGGAAAGTGAGTGTTGAGTCTTTGTATCTGTTCATCCATTAATTCTGTGTGTCAGGCATTGTGCTCAATACTGATTTTTTTTTTATTGTACCAGTCCTGGTACACTGTAAGAGCTCCATAAACATTGTTAATGCTTGAGGTCTCTTATTCCCCCCCCTTTCATTTTTGGATTCAGAATTCCGATTTTTATTTTTTTATTTTTATTTATTTTTTATTTTTTTTGAGAGGGCATCTCTCATATTTATTGATCAAATGGTTGTTAACAACAATAAAATTCTGTATAGGGGAGTCAATGCTCAATGCACAATCATTAATTCACCCCAAGCCTAATTCTCATCAGTCTCCAATCTTCTGAAACATAGCGAACAAGTTCTTACATGGTGAACAAATTCTTACATAGTGAATAAGTTACATGGTGAACAGTACAAGGGCATTCATCACAAAAGCTTTCGGTTTTGATCACGCATGATGAACTATAAACAATCAGGTCAAATATGAATATTCGTTTGACTTTATACTTGATTTATATGTGAATCCCACATTTCTCCCTTTATTATTATTATTATTATTATCATTATTTTTAATAAAATGCTGAAGTCAGAATTCTGATTTTTAAACTCATCTCTCTCAAGCTGTATCTCTCTTTAGCGTGCAGGACTCAGAACCACTACTTTGAACTAACTGATTATCACCTATCCATAGTCTAAGGACCTTGACTGAGTCTGTCCAGTCATTACTTCAGATTCTTGGGGTTCCCTTCATCCTCCACAGCACCGACTTCCTCTGCGGAGATCAAATGAAGACTAAAGAAGCAGCTCTTCTCACGGCTCTCCTGAAAGGTGGAGCTTTCATCAAGGCAAGCTAAGAGTTCACCGAATCATCACCTTGGAAGACAGTGGCCAAAACAGATCTCTTTCTCTCTTTTTTCTCTCTCTTATCTACCTACCTACCTATCCAGTATAAGAAACTGAAATTTTTATTGAGCTTCACAGTCTAAAAAAAGTTATTATACTTTATTGAACTAAAAGAAAAATCTTCCAGTTCTTGCAATCAATCTGTGAGTGGCTATTATTATCCCCACTTAAGAGAAAGTAAGTCAAGGCTAAGAGTGATTCAGAGATGTATTCGTGGTGAAACAGTTAAGATTTTTAACTGTGACTCAAACTCAGGATACTAACTGAAAAGTTGCCTCTAAGCCAGATATAAGAAAAGTAACAACCATATTTTCTATCCAGCACAGCCCTGTAGAATGCTTATTTCTATCAAGATTATACCACCTCTATTTTCATTAATAATCTGATAGCTCATTTCTATCAGAAATATGAACAATGTTTCTTTTATACCTTCTCTTCTTCCAAGTGGCTTCAACATTCACTCATTCAAAAATGAATCTGAGCCAGACCTACTATGTGCCTGGCAATGAAATTTGGCAACTTCCCAAATTTCCACAATAAGGCTGCTCTTCTCAGCCTCCAGTTATTTTACTCAATCTGCTCAGAGCCACTTCTATGTACAAGGTGCTGTACTAGGTGCTGGGATAGACACAAAGTTGAGCTAAGGGATTCTCCATCCCTGCCTTGAGGGAGCTTACAACTTACTGGAAAGAAGGCCTAGAAGTGATTTAAGTACAAGGCAAGCTAAAATCAGTATATTCTGTACAGGTACAAAGTCATATAAGGAAAGATGTCAAGAGTTTGAAATGGGTCTTGCATGTATAAGGTTTTCGTATCTAGAGATGGTGCAGGAGCAGAGGGCTAGAGCAAAAAGATGAAGAAGGAGAGACACATGGGTAGTTCCAGGGACTGATAGCTCGCCAACTCGCTGAAGCCCAGGCTGGCTGGAAGGAGGGAAAAATTGGAAAGGCGGGTTGGAGGTCATGCAGTGGAAAGCCCTGAGTGTCCTGCAGGAGCATTTGTACCTTATTCAGTTTGGAATGGGAGCTGTTAAAGCTCACTGGGGTCAGGAATGACCTGACAAAGTTATGCTTTGTGAACATTAATGAGGCAGCCATGGGTAGGATGACTTGCAAAATGTTAAGAGTAGAAGCAGAGAGCTTGAAGGGGCTCCTCTAGGACCCAGACAACCAATTCTCTTTGATACTATCTGTATAGTCATTCTCTCCCAAATCATGGCTTTTAATGGAGGGAAAGAGGTCTTCGATTTCTTACTTAGGTGTTTTCAGTCAGTAGAGATACATCTTGATTTCTCTTGTTCACTGCCTTGCGTGCAAATCAAAAGAGGAGATCAGCTGAGCCTTGCCAGTTGAATAACGACTGAGGCTCACCCACTGTCCACAAATTATGTCAGGCCTACATGGCCATCACTGAATATTTCAATGGGGAGTCACAACCACATCTTTTCCTTGGACCTGGTGGATCCAGTGACTTCTTGTTCCAGTCAGAATGGGCTGCTTCTCCTTCCTAGAACTTTCAGATTCACCAGTGATGGGAAATCTCTGCTTTTCCTATTGCTCTAGTGAAACTTCTCTATGTTAAGTTCAACTCTCCAAACTATAATACTAATATAAACTCCTCTTTGCTTTCTTGAGAATTTTCATTTCTGGATTCTTTAAAAAAATATTTCTAAGAGCTATTTGTCTTTTCTAATAGGCTGGAGGATGGGGAGCAGTTCATTAGCCCCTTCATCGTCTCTAAGACGGCGACCAGCTGGTATTTATAATCACATGCCTGGTGAGTCTTCAAAAGACACATCCTAACAACCCTGCTACCTGTCCATCACCTGCCCATATATCTAGTGTTACCCCGTCTATAGAAAGTAAACACCATCAGGCCAGAGGAAGTTGTCTCCTTGTGTTTCCAGGCAACATAGATTTTCCACAAGGGGTTCACACATGCTGACCAATTTAGAAATAGGGGGTGAGATTCACTGAAAGTGAAAAGCAAGCAGCAGAGATTTTCACTCTACAGAGGGCTTTGTAGCCACCAAGCTGAGTGAACTAAAAGAAAAATCTTCTAATGCATCTAAAATAGACAGTTTAGTGAGAAGCTACTGATCTTTAGATGAAGAGGGTGGTTTCTACAGATCCTAAGCTGAGTAGCTAGGTTGTTAGAAGATGAGCAGTTCCTTCAATAGATGTGAGGCAAATGGAGCTGTTAGATTTAAGGCAGAGAGATGGGTGAGATCACCTCCTATCAGGGCTGAAGAAGGGGCAATGAGGCAGGAATGGTTGAACCATGTGCTGAACCATGAATTGTGTCCCCAGACTCTCTTCATTGTGGGCAACCTCACCATAGCCCCTAAGAGGCAGGAGGCACCACAGAGAGCAGACTTGTGAGTAGGAGGGGGAGGGAAGAAGGATTTTCGGAATGTGACATTAAAGAAGGGGTTAAAATCCCATTCCTTCTTGTGTTTAACTGTATAGTCCTGTGAAAGCTAACAGAAATTTTTTTTCAGCTCCTAAGGCTTACAGATTTAAGTGTTCAGCCACCATTAGAAATCTAAGAGAGTTTGATGCACTAGAAGTACCTTTTTTTGTAGAGCAAACTGAAATAAATATAAAATCTAGCCAGAAGGACTGATTCTTTCTTTTTATTAAAAACATGGGGAAGCATGACCATGTATCTGTCACATTCCTCAATAAACAGGAACAGGTGTTGTCCCCAGGGCAAAAGGGAAGGAGATGAAAAAATAGTGAGCCTTTTCTTTGGGAGTCATTCTTAAGTACTTGTAGTAACTCACTTTGACAGTGAAACATTTGACAGCAGAGGGACCAGACAGGTGACAGACCTGTGTAAGTTGGCAAAAACAGGTGGAAAGAGACCTGTTCACTTAGTTCTACTGGTTGAGGTATATTCTCTCCGTCAGGTCCAGGAAGGTCCTTATAGACTTAGAAGTTAGGTCTGCTAAGCCACGTACTTTCACAGAAACGTAAAAATGGTATGGGTGGCTGTTACGGGCTGAAAGTTTGTTTCCCTCCAAAATTCATAATTAAATAAAAAATTGAAGTCCTAATTCCCAATGTGATAGTGTTTGGAAGTGGGACTTTGGGAGGTGATAAGGGTCAGATCAGTTCATGAGGGTAGGAGCCCCACGAGGGCACTAGTATCCTTATAAGAAAGGAAGACCAAGCTCACTCTCTCTACTGGCGTGCACTCAGGGAAGGCCATGTCAGGACAGCAAGAAGGTGGCTGCTACAAGCCAGGACCCAGGCTTTAACCAGGATCCAAATCTACTGGTACCTTGATCTTAGACTTAACAGCCTTCAACACCATGACTTGTAAATGTGTTTAAACCACCCAGTCTACAGAGTTTGATATACCACCCTGAGCTAAGATGTAATCTAATTGTCCTGGGTCCTGTCCTTTCCAGAAGTGGATCCAGAAGAAAATGAAGATGGGACAATGTCAAAGGGCATTTTGGCCACAATTAATTCTTCATTCTTTCTCCCAATATCAACTCATCCTCCCCTTCTTGGTAAATTGTCAATTAGAATAATGGAAATGGTATGGAAAACTGAAATGAATGGTGGGTGAGAATCAACTTGTACAAGGGAACCATCCTGAGGAAAATTGACCCCAAATCCTATAATAGGAAAGAAAAGGAATAGGAATAGGAAAGAGAGGGAGGATTTAAAAAAAAATGATTTCTGAAAATTTGCTTACCTTTGTTTAAGCGTCCCATCACAGTAAACTCAAAATACTTGCTGTTGTCAGTTGAAGAGTAAAGGCCGAAGATGGTGGCTGAACTTTTAGTGTGCAGCTTGAAGGTGGAGGCCACATAGACCTCATTCAGGGTGGGATCTGTCAGTATTGGCTGCAGGACACTTGGGTTCAGCCTCTGGCTTGAGGATGGGAGAAGGTCAAAGACTGAGGAGAATGGGGAGAAAGGGATAATCAGCGAAAGACTTAACTTTGGGGCAAATGTATTTTTATGGGGGAACAATTTGACAGTAAACTAATGTCATTATTTTGTCACATTGTCAAACTCACCAGTCCTTACTTATTGCTCTTACAGTAGCTGGATGTTTGTACCAAAAAAAATAGAGCACAAAGCCATCACTAGATTATGCCCCCAAGAAAAGACTAAATTTGCTAACCCCAATTGCATTTGGCTAAAAATGTGGCTCTGAAAATGCCCACTAGCAAAAGCACTGAAGGCTTAAAGTACAAGGGACACAAGTGAGAGCATCCAAGTCAGTGCTTTTCTTATGACCCCAAGGAGTGCACTCCTGCCTTGGGGTGCCTCTTGCGCCTCCTGGACAGAACCAGCTGTATCCTCCTGGTCAGTGATAAATGACTCGGTGAAGGCAGCAGGAAGCATGGGTGCCATGGGAGACAGAGCGCCCGCAGCATGATTCCCTACAGTTGTGGGACCTAAGTGTTTCCGTTGTGCATTTACAGTTCTCCAATATTTCTCTGTTAAAAATTCTGATGTGGAAACAAAACAAAACAATGTGGTTTCTGTTTATTGAATGTAACTTGACTGATAGAGTTGGTTTACAAAAACTGGAACCTGCGCTTGTGCAAGTTGCTTTTGTTTAGCCAGCAGAACTTTCTCTCAAACTCTGTAATATTTATGAAAGCTACAAGAGAGTACATTCAGAGTTATTTAAAAAGCAAAGGCCGAATTTGGGTAATACTCACTATAAGTTACTTAATATTTCTATTTGTTCATGCAAATACCGTCTGAACCATTCCACAGCCTGCAGGAACTTTGGCCTCTAGAGCTGCCCGTTGGATACAATAATCTGGTTATTACAAAGGTAACAGTATCCATAATTTATAAAGATCTCTGACAAATCAAGATAGTAAACATCCTAATAGCAAAATGGACAAAGAACATGAAAAAGTAATTTACACAAAAAAAGAGTTTTAATGGCAAACAAGTATATATATAAATGTTCATATGCTTAGCTAATAATGAAGAAATTGCTAACTTAAATAATAAGGTATTATTTTTACCATCAAATTAGAAAAACAGTCAATACAACACCCAACTGTTGGTGAAGGTTCAGAGAAAAGGGCACTCATATATATATATACTGGTGGGTAAGATTTAAATTAGTATAAACATTCTGAAGACAGTTTGAATCACGGTGTCAAAGCACCTTAGACATACACGCTCTTTGATATAGCAATTCTACTTACAGGAATTTATCCTAAGGAAATAATGGATAACATGGTAAATGATTTAGGTACAAAGGTATTCACCGTCAGTGATAATTCTAGAATTTCTGTTTAGGAAGGAATTATGCAAAAATTTGATTGACAGAGCAGGAACCCTGAAGCTCTGTGGGCATAGCACTTTTTTATGAAAACAGACTTCCTTAGCAGGAAAAGAAGGGCTTGGCAGAGATTGAGGGAATTTCAGCCATCCAAGCTATCCTGTGGCATATAATTGTTCAACAAATTATTAGTTACAATATGAAAACACTGGAAACAACCTAAACAACCCTGGACAAAAGTAGAATGCTATCTATTAAGAAGGGTAATGTAGCTGGATATTTACACATATGGAAAGGTATTCATGATATATAAGTGGGAAAAAATGATAAAACTATACATTTAACATGATCCCATGAAATATATATTTGTATAGAAAAATATTTGAAAGACAACACAACAAAATGCTAACATGAATAGCAGTAACCTCTGGGTTGTATAAGTTTTTATTTCCTTTTATTTCCTTTTGCTTATCTGATTTTTCTTTTTTAAAGTGAACAGGTTTTGCTTTTGTGAGAAGAACAAATGTTAAAAAGTCATAAAGATAGCAAAAAAACCTAGTTACTCAAGAATGTCTACTCTTTCTGAAAAACAATCTTTTTAGACTGGATCTGTATTGTTTCTTTTACATGTACCAAGGATCTTAAACAATAATGAATCTAATAATGGGAATGTTGGACAGCATAATATCTATTATGTTACTTCTAGCACCCCACATTCCCCAAACATGAAGATTGCTGTCTACTATACTTCCAAAGGGGAACAGAATTTTTAAATTTCCAGAGGACTTGAAACCTTATATTCTACCAATTAGGGCAAAGAGAAATAGGGCAATATATTTCAAAGTTCCATTTAGGGCAAGCCATCTTCAGAAAAGAGATATGTATTTAAGGTGTGGGAAATTCATTCAAAACTAAACTCTGGTATTCCTGATTCTTAGCTTTGACTATGACTGTGTCCATAACTTAGCTTAAGCTAAATGTACCCTATTTCAATCTATATGGTTTGTCTAATCAACTGACTTCTCTCTCCACAGGCAGAGTTGAGATTAGTTAGTAATGAGTTTGGAGAGTGTTTTGAAAGGAAATGAGACATTACAATTCCCTATTAATGTTGTTACACTTTAGTAATAGTGCTAGGATCTAAGCACAACCTTCTAGTGTTAGAGGTGAAATTACTTCTACCAATGAGCCCCACTACTATGGTATGAAATGGAATATATACTAATAGGACTAGTAAGGCAGCACAGAGGAGAAAGAAGATAAGCAGATTATCCAGTTGAGTTGATGATTACCAGACTAATTAACTCAGTAAACTGATCTATCAGAAACTTGACTTAATCAGATAACTTACAGCAACTAAATTAACCAGATAATTTAAGAAGTATGGTTTAGTTTCAAGTCTCCATGAAAAACACAGCTCTGTCAAAGGAGAAACAAAATTCATCAGCACATCATGAAGTAGTGTGTTCAAATGTCAAGAATTCATATAACACAAAATATTATCCCCATAAATTCAAAATTGCCAAATAATGTCTTCAATAAGAAAAATTCTGAATTGTGTTAAAAAAAACTTCCTTTCCAACACCAAAGACAACAAAAGCAAAAATGAAAAGGTGACTACCTCAATGTAAAAAGCTTCTGCACAGCAAAGAAAACAACCAACAAAATGAAAAGGCAACTGAATAGAGAAAATATGTGCAAATCATACATCTAATAAGGGATTAATATCTAAGATATATAAAGAACTCATACAACCCAACAGCAAAACAAAACAGCTAATTTACAAATGGGTAGAAGATCTGAGTAGACATTTTTCCAAAGAAGGCACACAGGTGGCTAATGGGTACATGAAGAGATGCTCAACATCACTAATCATCAAGGAAATGCAAGCCAAAACCACAATGAGATATCACCTCACACATGTTAGAATGGCTATTATCAAAAAGACAAGAAACAGCAAGTGTGGGTTAGGAAGTGGAGAAAAGGGAACCTTTGTACACTGTTGGTGGAAATGTAAATTGGTGTAATCACTATAGAAAATGTTATGGAGGTTCCTCAAAAAAATGAACAATAGAACCGTCATATGATCCAACAGTTCCACTCCTGGGTATTTATTGAAAGAAAATAAAAACACTAACTTGAAAAGGTATCTGCACCCACATGTCATTGCCAAATTGTATACAATAGCCAAGATATGAAAAATAGTGTTCATAGATGGATGAATGGATAAAGAAGTCGTGTCTGTGTGTATGTGTATAAAATGGAATGTTACTCAGCCATAAGAAAGAATGAAATCTTGCCATTTGCAAAAATATGGATGGGCCTTAAAGTATTCTACTAAGTGAAATAAGTTAGGGAAAGAAAAGTACTGTCTGATCTCATACGTGGAATCTTAAAAAAAACAAAACCTTAGCTCATAGAGATAGAGAACAGACTGTTGGTTGCTGGAGGGTCTTGGGTGGGGAATGATATGTGGGGGGACAGGCAAAGTGGGTGAAGGGGGTCAAAAGGTATAAAGTTCCAGTTATAAAACAAATAAGCCATGAGGGTGTAATGTACAGCATGGTGACTATAGCTAATAATACTAATAGTACTGTGTTGCATATTTGAAAATTGCTAAGATAGTAGATTTCAAAAGCTTTCATCACAAGAAAAAAATTGTAGCTACATATGGTGATGGATGTTAACTAAACTTATTGTAATAATCATTTTGCATTGTATACTGAAAATGGAAGTTCCTATAGCCAGGATCCTCACCTCACCCTAAACTACTTGATGATGTAATTGGCCTACTGCTAGGCTAATGCTCCCACACCTGTTGGCAATGAGCGATTATTGACTGAGTCACTATATAAAGAGCTCTGCCCACTGCTTTTGGAGGAGGCAGAGATAGAGGTGGATTAGGGACCTGCAGACTGCTGGATTCTAGTGCTCCACCTACAGCCGTGAGAATAAAGCCAGGTACAAACCCTTTTACCCCAAGAACCTTCCATTGTCAATACTTGGTCTCAATGAATCCATAGTGAACCTGTCGGGCTGAAACCCTCAGGCGAGACAGATACAATTAGCGAATCATGTTGTACACCTGAAACTAATATAAGGTTATATGCCAATTACAGTCAATCTAAAAAAAGCTTCCCTTCTTACCTTCCTAGAAGAAAAGTCACAGTGAATAAATATTATAGACAACAGCATTTCAAGTATTTCAACCCAAACTAAAAGCAGTACAGTGTCCCCTGAAACCACAATTCTGGTTGCCTGGTCTGGAATCAAAATGAGTTATCTGGAAAAATGCAAAGTTTAAATGGTGACTACTGCAATGGAGGGGAAAGGACTTGAGAAATGTCCTCACAGGCATTCTTCATTCTAGTTTCGTGAAGAATAACATCTTTTACTTCAAGTTGTCATGTGTCTCTTCCAGCTTCACTTCCTTAGTCTGTAATAAACCCACCTGGGCACTAATTTCACTGATGAAAGTCATCACCGGACAGACATTTAGTGCCTTAAGACTTTTTCTAGCTTAAATAATTTCTTCCTTTGGTCTTTACAGAGAATTCTGTTGAAGTGCTTTCTGCGCAACGGTTTTCACACCATCTCACAAGGGGGTTTGAGGATTACCCAGCTGTCTTTTCAATTATTTACGGAATATTTACCTCTTCATAGAGTAAGACAGATTTCTCAGCCCTTCCTGTTCTATTTGTCTCAGGAATCAGGAGACCAAGCCAACTCCCAAAGGAGGCTTTGGGGTCCAAGCAAAGTTACAGCAGGAAGCGAGCGGCAGGACAACAGGGTGATGCTGCGTAGTTCTCCTGGATGTCGGCCTCAGAGCGTCCGGGCGCACATCACTCCCAGCCCCGTGAAGGATTCAGGGTGCAAGGGCTAAACGGAGGGCCGCCAGAGAGCCACAGGGGACAGAACCTGGGTTCCATGCCATTCCAGAGGGGACATATTAGAGGTTTCCAGGGCTGTGTATAAGCTTGGAAGTAAACCCCTTATCTTTGCATGGACTGAAAACAAGTTTTGCATCCCTCAAACTGTTGTTCAGGGAATTCATCTCATAGCTGGATCATCTCGAAAACTCTATACTCAAATCACCGCTTCCAATCACAACAGCTTTGACTGGGGCCGCAGGACAGAGAGGATCCAAGCGAGGCCCCCAGGAGCCAAGGGCAGAGCAGCGCGCGCCGAGCGGGTCCCTCCACTCGCCCAGACGGAGCGCGGGACGGCGACAGCGGGGTACCCGGGACCCGCCGCCAGCGCCCCGGCCCTAGCCCACTTACCCTGGGGGGGTGCCTGGGCGCCGGCCCCCAGCCACGGCTGCAGGGCCAGGTGCAGCAGGACGAACACGGCTCCGCGCGGGGCCAGCATTGTGGCTTTTCCTGCTCTTCGAGGCGCCTGCGAGCGACGGCCGCGCTGGCCCTGCCTGGATGTCGCCGGTGTCCCCCGCGGGAGGCGCAGGTGAAGGGTGCGAGGCGTGGGGCGCGGCGTCCGGGCTGCCGTCGGGGCGGCGCTGGCGACCTGGCGCGGCGAAGAGCTGGGCGCTCGAGCGGCTGGGCCGGGCGGCCGCCGCGCGGCTCTTTAAGGTCCGGCCGCCCCGGGGGCGGGGAGGACCGAGGCCGGGGCGGCCCCCTTGGCTGGGATCCCCCTTCTCCGGAAAGAGCGGGGCGGCGCAGGGAGGGCGCGAGGGTGGGGACGGGAAGAGACCCGCCGACCCGGGGCTGGGGCGCGCGCGGCGAGGCGGTCAGGAGAGCGGGGGAGCGAGGATGGAAAGCAGGGGCCGCTGAGAAAGCCAGGGTCGTGCGCGGCGCGGGACAGGGTAGAGGCGAGGGAGGGAAAGGGGGAGAAAGAAGGAAGAAAGTGACACCGACCCCGCTAGCTTTGGACACCATCAGTCTCCCCCACCTCCTGTCCTTTTGTTTTCTGAAAGAACAACGTCGTTTGGACAGGCTTGTAACGGCCCCCTTGGTTCCCTTCTGACCCAACCCTGAAGGCTGTCCAGGAAACTCTCCTCAAGTAGTCCAGAGAGCGATTGGTTTCTTTTATTTCTTCAAGCTTTTCTTGAGCACTTCAAATGTTGAATAATTTTCCAATCAAGTACTGAGACATGAACAGTAAACGTTTGAAAGTTTTTGAGTTTTTGATGGAAGTAAAACACATCTCAAGGAATCCATCTGGACAGAACCATTTATAGGACCATGGTGCTTTATAGAGAATTTATTTTCAGTCCCGTTTCCAAACACTCCGCCTCCCACTTCTGTTTCTCTCTCCCGAAGGCTTCTGTGTGACACTTTAAAGGTATGGTAGTGGGACCTGAAAGGGAGGGAGGGAGCTTAAGGGTCAGACTTCCTCCTAGGCGAAGTCCCCTAAAAATAATTTGGATTAATTAGAGGAAAAAATACTTCAGAACAATAGCAAACGTCTTCCTCTTAAACAGTCTTGACTGAAGGACACGATCCAGCAAAATGTTTTTAAGCCCTATCTTTGCATCTTAAAGAATTTCATCTCAAAGTTTAAGAAGCTGTCTGCCACAAGCTGGAAGATTAACTCACCCTAGTCCCCAAATGCTGGAATAATTCCACACAATTCTGACTCCTTTTGCAGCTAATGACCTGGAGACTTAGGAGCTGCCTTCAGAGCTCTCTTCTATTTGAGGTCTAACATAGGTCCAATCCACGCTTCATTTCATGCACAATACCCTAAACTCACCCTTTGGGATGGGTCACCACGTGACTACACAGGAGAGAGCACTAAAAAAACGAAGGGTACAAGTTTCTAGCAACGTGACTGTAAACCAATAATGAGATAGGTTAGACTGGAGAATCTTCAAGTCTCCAAATTGTGTCTGCAGGAGTAGCCTGGGTTGGAGGGGGCTCCAGGCTCTCAACTTCTGCTTTAAGCGGAGCAGCGTTTCTTGTATGTTTTATACAGTGGAGTTCAGAGTAAGGAGGACTGAAAATTAAGTTATTTGAAGTTAGATATCATTTTTGGATCCGCCTCCCACTTCTGTTTCTCTCTCCCGAAGGCTTCTGTGTGACACTTTAAAGGTATGGTAGTGGGACCTGAAAGGGAGGGAGGGAGCTTAAGGGTCAGACTTCCTCCTAGGCGAAGTCCCCTAAAAATAATTTGGATTAATTAGAGGAAAAAATACTTCAGAACAATAGCAAACGTCTTCCTCTTAAACAGTCTTGACTGAAGGACACGATCCAGCAAAATGTTTTTAAGCCCTATCTTTGCATCTTAAAGAATTTCATCTCAAAGTTTAAGAAGCTGTCTGCCACAAGCTGGAAGATTAACTCACCCTAGTCCCCAAATGCTGGAATAATTCCACACAATTCTGACTCCTTTTGCAGCTAATGACCTGGAGACTTAGGAGCTGCCTTCAGAGCTCTCTTCTATTTGAGGTCTAACATAGGTCCAATCCACGCTTCATTTCATGCACAATACCCTAAACTCACCCTTTGGGATGGGTCACCACGTGACTACACAGGAGAGAGCACTAAAAAAACGAAGGGTACAAGTTTCTAGCAACGTGACTGTAAACCAATAATGAGATAGGTTAGACTGGAGAATCTTCAAGTCTCCAAATTGTGTCTGCAGGAGTAGCCTGGGTTGGAGGGGGCTCCAGGCTCTCAACTTCTGCTTTAAGCGGAGCAGCGTTTCTTGTATGTTTTATACAGTGGAGTTCAGAGTAAGGAGGACTGAAAATTAAGTTATTTGAAGTTAGATATCATTTTTGGTCATCTTTGTTTCATTATCTTTGCTAGGCATCCCCAATTCCTAGCAAATTGTCAGTAAAATAGTTTGTACCAGTAGGTACAAAACAAATTTTGATTGAAAATGGATGACTCCTAAGTTATGAAGGAGCAAGAAAAGAATCAAATGACTTTCTTCTAGTCTAACAGACTTGGTAATCTAGTTTTGCTTCCAAAGAGCCTGTGTTTTTATGAAGCCATTCACTGGGAACTCTCAGTCAGCTTTTTCTTCATGCCCTCAGAATCAAGAAAAACTTTGATTACAGTAGTGGTATATATACACAATGGAATATTGTTCAGTCATAAGAAGAAAACAAATCCTACCATTCGCAACAACATGGATGGAGCTGGAGGGTATTATGCTCAGTGAAATAAACCAAGTGGAGAAAGACAAATACTAAATGATTTCACTCATCTGTGGAGTATAAGAACAAAGGAAAACTGAACGAACAAAAGAGCAGCAGACTCAGAGAACCCAAGAATGGACTAACAGTTGCCAAAGGGAAAGGGACTGGGTGAGTGGGAAGGGAGGGAGAAGGGGAATAAGGAGCATTATGATTGGCTCACATAATATGGGGGTGGGCACAGGGAAGGCAGTATAGCACAGAGAAGACAAGTAGGGACTCTACAGAATCTTACTATGCTGATGGACAGTGACTGTAATGGGGTAAGTGATGGGGACTTGATAATGTCTAGTAACCACAATGTTGCCAAAGAAAAAGGAATTAAAATTTTTTGATTACAGTAAAATTCATTAAATTGGCTATGAAATCTATGGTACAGGAGGTAAAAGAGTTCATCAGTTTCTTTTGTGCCAGCTCATTAAAGTATATGTTGTTGCACTCTTCTCACTGAATTTGAATTTAATAATGTATTAGTTTATGTTTAATTTTTTTCAACGCCAGACTGTGAGCACCTTAGCACTTATTTCTTTTTGGTTGCCCCAATTCCAAGTACAGTGCCTAACACTTAATAGTGAGTAGCTCATTGAACTGACTTTCCTTCTTTTTGTACTTTAAAGGATAGGGGGTTGTAATAAATTAGTAATCCACTCACGTGGTAGACTGCAAAAATGGTCCCAATTCTTCATTCTTCTATATACACATCTTTTGCCTTTCCACTATGATTCTAGGCTTGACATGTGACTTACTTGGCCAATAGGATTTTAGCAAGAGTGCCACGAGCAGGAGCTTGAAAAGTATGGTGTGATTGGGCTTGCTTACTCTTGCTTGTCTGCCTTTGCTGTGATAGCTGGCTGTGCTAGGCTGAAGGAGGATGGAGACATGAAGCAGAGCTGAGGCACCGCAGTTACCCTAGGCAAAGCCAACTGAGATCAGACTCAGACACGTAGTGAGTTCAGGCCAGATGAGCAGAGCTGTCTAGCTCACTCCAGGCATGTGAACAGTCAATGTTTATTTTTGCATTCCATTAAGATTTGGGGTTTCTTTTTGTTATGTAACATTACTGTAGGAATAGATAACCGATATGCTAGGTTTCCTCCTGTTTCTAACTATTGTAATAGAGAGTATGACTCCATTTTTTATGTTTGCTGACATCTTTTGAGCTTCATCACTCTCCTTCCTCTCAGTCCCACAAGTGAACAAGCTGATAAGAAACCTGGGTGCTCCTTCACTTGGTGCTGGCACAAAGTTCAAACCGTGTAAGCCCTACCATGCACAGGAATCCTCATCCCAGCCCTAGCCCCTAACCACCAGGAAAACCCCATTGCCATTCTCCTTTCCCTGCTCATTCAAGCCATCTCACATCGGCTTGGGAGCCTCTCCTGCACTCGCCCCTAAACCTCATTATGTGCATAATAAACCTTTTCAAACCCTCCTGTTGCATGTGTGGCATTATCGTCAGTCTAAACATCCAAACCCAGTTTTGTGTGTGGTATATCCATCCTGTTCCTTCTCCTTCTGTCTTTCAGATGTAGGAGAAGTTACTCATATCACACAACTGCTTCATGGCACAACGAAGTAGAAATTTTTTACATTTCTTTTGTTAATTGATATTTGAGCAAAGTTATCATTAGTTATGTCAAGTTTTCTACTTGAATTCTTGAATGGAATAGAAATAGACGATAATTAATAACATCTAAAGATGGTTTAAAGGGAATATGGTTTACACTCTAATGTGTGATGACATTTATGCCAGAGTGCTGGGAAATGTAGATGTTGGGTTACTATTTAGTTTGGTGTTAATAACAAAGGAAAGTGCTTGATTAAGTGACAGTATAATAGCTTCTCTAGAAACTAGTTAACACACATAAGGGCCCAGTAAATGAAGCAGGGGCTTTTGATTCGTGTGCAATTAAAAGTAAAAAACCTTTTTTTCCAGAGCTTAAAGGATATTTTGCTCTAGAAATTAGACACTAAAGATTAGTGACGCAAGAAGTATATAAAATCACTCATTTTCAATCTCACTAAAGGTCTAAGTAGACTATTAAAAACCTCTCATTATGCTTCTTTAATAGGCTATATTAAATACTGTATAAAAATACCTTAGAAAAAGAAGCCAGAAATACACTTGTGAGGACATTTATTACAAATAACTATGTCTACCCAAGTTGAAGTCCAGAGAAAGTTTTGACAACTACCATTTCTTAAAGTATCTACTTTTCTTCATTAAATAATACACTAATCCACCCACATGGTGCTTCCTATAATGTCTAATGTAACAATGATTATCATGCCAGGAAAATTCCAAACGTAGTGCCAGATGTCTAAATGTATTTGCTAAGAAAACGTAATACAAAGTGCAATGAAACAATAGGGGCATAAAGCAAACTTGAAAATATGCTAAAATTCTCTTCATTTGGTT